ATATAATAATAATAATAATAATAATAATAATAATAACAACAACAACAACAATAATAATAATAATAACGGCCTACAGTGAAACAACTACTACTAATAACAGGACTGCAATAAAAATAATAACACAGGCCTGCAATTAAAACAATAATATGAACAACAATCCTGAGATGCAAATAATATTATATCTGCATTCCTGTGAGTTTTCTGGGCTGCCCGACCATGTTTCAGAAGCATTCTCTCCTGACGTTTTGCCCACATCTCTGGCGGGCATCCTCAGAGGTTGCGAGGTCTGTTGGAAACTAGGCAAGTGGGGTTTATATATCTGTGGAATGAGGTCCAGGATGGGAGAAAGAACTCTTGTCTGTTGGAGGCAAGTGTGAGTGTTGCAATTGGCCAGCTTGATTAGCATTGAATGGCCTTGCAAACTTCAAAGCCTGGCTGCTTCCTGCCTGGGGGAATCCTTTGTTGGGAGGTGTTAGCTGTCCCTGATTGTTTCCTGCCTGGAATGATGCCCAGCGTGGGAGAAAGAACTCTTGTCTGTTGGAGGCAAGTGTGAGTGTTGTAATTGGCCAGCTTGATTAGCATTGAATAGCCTTGCAAGCTTCAAAACCTGGCTGCTTCCTGACTATGGGAATCCTTTGTTGGGAGGTGCTGTCCCTGATTGTTTCCTGCCTGGAATGATGCCCAGGGTGGGAGAAAGAACTCTTGTCTGCTGGAGGCAAGTGTGAGTGTTGCAATTGGCCAGCTTGATTAACATTGAATGGCCTTGCAAGTTTCAAAGCCTGTCTGCTTCCTGCCTGGGGGAATCCTTTGTTGGGAGGTGTTAGATATACCAAATTCATGTGTTTCATATGCATGTTTATGCACATAGCCTGAAGGTAATTGTATACACAATACTTTGAATAATTTTGTGCACGAGACAAATGTCTATATACATGGAACCACCCAAAAGCAATGGCTTACGTCGATAATTTTGGAGTATTTTTGTCTGTTTTTCCAAATTTGTTCAGTAGGCGTTTGCCTTTCCCTTCCTCCAAGGCTGAGAATTGCCAATGTTCGTCTTGCCGTTCAAGTCTGGTTCTTCCATCACTTCTGAGTCAACACTATATATTTATTAATGATACACTTTTAGACTTAGTCTAAGCCGATGGAGAACAAACGGACTTCAGAAAAGGTCGGAAAATATCAAAGAAGCTCCCAAGTGGAAAAGCTTCAGGCTTGACGTTAAAAATCAAAACCTTATTCTATTCTCCACTTACTTCGACCAACTTGATCCAGATTTTCTGATGTTGACTTTGCAACCGAGTTCATTTAACAACAGAGAAGAATCTCACAGTTTGCACAGGAAAGTAGTTATCATGCGAAGGATAATTATAATCCATGTGTGACGCGATGTGTTAATTCCATTCTTCTCCCTAAAGGCATCTGGAACATGCTTGCGGATTTGCAAGCAGGCAATATAAAAATAGCAATAATATAGTCAAAGGGTTGAAAAACAAATTAATCAACAAGGATCTTGTCACAGGGCCAAAACAGAGCGGGTACCATTTATTTATTTATTAGGACATTTATATCCCATACTATCTCACCTCCACAGAGGGACTCAGGGCAGCTAACAACCGGCACAGCATAGTGCCCATAATAAGAAAAGCATAAATATACATAATATAATAAAACATAAATATACATAATATAATAAATATAATAATAATATAATAAATAAATATACATAATAATATAATACCACAATAAGAAAAGCATAAATAGGCATAATATAATAAAACATAAATATACATAATATAATAAATATAACATAATAAATCTAATAATAATATAATAAATAAATATAATAATAATATAATAGCATAATAAGAAAAGCATAAATAGACATAATATAATAAAACATAAATATAATAATATAATAAATATAATATAATAAATCTAATAAAATATAATAAATAAATATACATAATAATATAATACCATAATAAGAAAAGCATAAATAGACATAATATAATAAAACATAAATATAATATAATAAATATTATAATAAATATAATATAATAAATATAAAAATAATATAGTAAATAAATATACATAATAATATAATACCATAATAAGAAAAGCATAAATAGACATAATATAATAAACACATAAATATACATAATATAATAGCATAATAAGAAAAGCATAAATAGACATAATATAATAAAACACAAATATACATAATAAATATAATAATAAATATAATTTAATAAATATAATAATATAATAGCATAATAAGAAAAAGCATAAATAGACATAATATAATAAATACATAAATATACATAATATAATAAATATAATAATAAATATAATAATAAATATAATAAATATAAAAATAATATAATAAATAAATATATATAATATAATACCATAAGAAAAGCATAAATATACATAATATAATAAAACATAAAATATACATAATAAATATAATAATATAATAAATATAATATAATAAATATAAAAATAATATAATAAATAAATATACATAATAATATACCATAATAAGAAAAAGCATAAATAGACATAATATAATAAACACATAAATATACATAATATAAATATAATAATAATAATATAATAAATATGATATTATAATATAATATATATAATATATATATATATAATATAATAAAAATTAAAATTCAGTCGTAATTCTAAAATTCTGTCATAATCCTAAACCGTAACTTTGCCAGCAAATCAGTCTAGTCCACAAAGACCTGATCCCAGAGTCAGGATTTCCCTTTTTTTTCCAAAGGAGAGGAGAGATGGAGCAGATGTGATTTCGTTTGGGAGGGAATTCCATAGCTAAGGGGCCACCACGGAGAAGGCCCTGTCTCTCGTCCCCACCAAGCGCGATTGCAATGGTGGGGGGACTGAGTCTCCCCTGACTATCTTAAGGTCCTAGGTGGCTCATAGTGGGAGATACGTTTGGACAGGTAAACTGGGCCAGAACCATTAAGGGTTTTATAGGCCAAAGCCAGCACTTTGAGTTGTACTTGGAAGCTAATAGGCAGCCAGTGGAGTTGGCATATCAAGGTTGTTGTGCGCTCCCGATACCCCGCTCCTGTGAGCAACCTGCCTGCCGAGCGTTGGACTAACTGAAGCTTCCAAACAGTCTTCAGAGGCAACCTGACGTAGAGTATGTTGCAGTAGTCTATTCGGGATGTAACCAGAGAGTGGACCACCGTGGCCAAGTCTGATCTCCCAAGGTATGGGCGCAGTTGGCGCACAAGTTTTAACTGTGCGAAAGCTCCCCCTTCACCGCCATAACCTAGGGTTCCAGGCTCAGCGATGAGTCCAGGATCACTCCCAAGCTGAGAACCTGTGCCTTCAGGGGGAGTGTAAACCCATCCAGGACAGGCTGTAACCCTATGCCCTGTTCAGCCTTCTGACTGACCAGGAGGACCTCTGTCTTGTCTTCCTTCGCTCAGCCTTCCTTATGGTCCAGCTCTCACAGCCATAGGTTACTACGGGGAATACCATTGCTTTGACTATGCGAACTTTAGTTGCCAGTGTGATGTCTCTACTCTTCACTATTTTATCGAGATTGGTCCTTGCTCTCCTCCTGAGAAATATATGTCTTCTGATTTCCTGGCTGCAGTCTGCGTCTGCAGTAATCTTTGCACCTAGGAATACAAAGTCTGTCACGGCCTCCACATTTTCTCCCTCTATTTGCCAGTTATCTATCAGTCTTGTTGCCATCATTTTGTTTTTGTTTTTTTAAGTTTAATTGCAACCCAGTGTTTGCACTTTCTTCTTTCACCTTGATTAGAAGGCTCCTCAGCAAATCCTCGTTTTCGCCATCAAAGTGGTATCATCTGCATATCTAAAGTTGTTAATGTTTCTTCCAGCAATTTTAACTCCAGCCTTGGATTCGTCAAGCCCGCACATCGCATGTGTTCTGCATACAAGTTGAATAGGTTGGGGGAGGGTACGCTTGGAAGGTATTAATTAATTATTTATTTACTTACTATATTTGTATACCGCTCTTCTCAGCACTGGGGTGACTCAGAGTGGTTAACAATAGCAAAATTCAATGCTCAAAAACATCATAAAACAGTTAAAAATAATTAAAACAGTAGCATAATGTTGTTCTTCATTCGTTCAGTCATCTCCGACTCTTCGTGACCTCATGGATCAGCCCATGCCAGAGCTCCCTGTCGGCTGTCACCACCCCCAGCTCCTTCAAGGTCAGTCCAGTCACTTCAAGGATGCCATCCATCCATCTTGCCCTTGGTCGGCCCCTCTTCCTTGTATTGTTCAGTCGTTTCCGACTCTTCGTGACCTCATGGACCAGCCCACGCCAGAGCTCCCTGTCGGCAGTCTCCACCCCCAGCTCCTTCAAGGTCAAGCCAGTCACTTCAAGGATGCCATCCATCCATCTTGCCCTTGGTCGGCCCCTCTTCCTTTTTCCTTCCACTTTCCCCAGAATAATGGTGACCCTCATGGACCAGCCCACACCAGAGCTCCCTGTCGGCCGTCACCACCCCCAGCTCCTTCAAGGTCATTCCAGTCACTTCAAGGATGCCTTCTACTTCAGGAGAAAGGTGTTGTTGTTGTTCATTCGTTCAGTCGTCTCCGACTCTTCGTGACCTCACGGACCAGCCCACGCCAGAGCTCCCTGTCGGCCGTCACCACCCCCAGCTCCTTCAAGGTCAGTCCAGTCACTTCAAGGATGCCATCCATCCATCTTGCCCTTGGTCGGCCCCTCTTCCTTTTACTTCTCTTCTCCGACTCTTCGTGACCTCATGGACCAGCCCACGCCAGAGCTCCCTGTCGGCCGTCACCACCCCCAGCTCCTTCAAGGTCAGTCCAGTCACTTCAAGGATGCCATTCATCCATCTTGCGAGAGTAGCATAATAAACAGTCAATATTCCTATTCCATGCATTTTTGTCAATCCAACTGTGTGAGTGTGTATAGATGGGCCTTCAAACTAATGTTTCTATTTATTTTCCAGGCGAAGCAGCAAAGCATAGAAGACTATCCTACGAGGAGTGAAAAAGGATTTGATAACAGCCACCGAATGCCAAATATGGCATTTTAAAACGCTCCCAGTTCCTGGCTCATGACCGCCCCACGACACTACTACACCTTACCCCGGACTCTACTCACCCCCCGCTTGTATTCTGACGGGACGATGGGCGGCATTGCCCAAATCACCCCCTTCCTATACCTCAGCAAGGGGAGCGTGGCCTCCAACCGGCAGCTGCTCTTGGCACGGGGTATCACCTGCATCGTCAACGCCACCGTCGAGGTGCCCAACGCCAACTTCCCCAACTTCGAGTACTACCGGGTGCCCGTGGCCGACATGCCCAGCGCCCCTATCTCCATGTACTTCGACAGCGTGGCTGACAAGATCCAAAGCGTGGCCCGTAAGCGGGGTGCCACCTTGGTCCACTGTGCGGCCGGCGTGAGTCGGTCGGCCACCCTCTGCATCGCTTACCTGATGAAGTACCAAAACGTCAGCCTCCACGAGGCGTACAACTGGGTGAAGTCCCGGCGCCCGGTCATCAACCCCAACGTGGGCTTCTGGCGGCAGCTCATCGACTACGAACGGGAGCTCTATGGGAGGAACAGCGTGAAAATGGTACAAACGACGTACGGCATGATGCCGGATGTTTACTTGGGAGGGAGGAGAAACTTTATGCCTCTCTGGGGGATCTGAAGAGCACCGAAAAAAAGGAACAGAAGAAACAAGGGCGTTCCCAAAACAACAAAGAGTTCCTTAGGGTCAATTTCAATTCCTTTTAGAACTCTCAAAGTTGCAATGTACGTATTTTATTATTTTCCTGACACACTAAACCAGCAGCCCCATAATATTGGGGGGACTTTGTGGGGATAACTTCACAGGAAGGCCTTCTCGCAAAGATGGACAGGGTCTGTCCAAAAGTCCACTTCATGAAGCCAGACTGTTTCAAATGGTGGAGAATGTGTGACTCGAATATTGTTTGGAAATGCAGGTGCTTTTTATTTTATTTTATTCTTATTGATCAAAAGGCTTCATTAGAAGAAGACCGGTTGGTCCTTCTTCCCCTCCAAGGAGAGATCAATTTGAAATCAATTAGTAGCCGACGTCCAAAGGCCGAGAAATAAATATGTAATTATAATCTTATTTTAAAACACCAGTTTTGACAATGCACAACTATCTTTTGTGTGTGTGTTTTATCAGTTGGCAAAGTGTGTGTTGTTGGGGGGGGGGGGAGATACTTAAACTAGACAAACTGCCACAAATAAAATAATTTAGACAATTAAGATGTCATGTTTCTTTTATCCTTCAGCTTGCCTTGACTTGACATTCGCTCAGCATCCGTTTCTCCCGCTCTAAAATACATATCCAATATTCCAAAGTAAAGGGATGGCTAAAAAGACACAGGAAAATTCCACAGTAAATCACAAGATCCACACAACAGCAACAAGAAATTCATAAAACCGTCACACAATAATGCAAGTGTTTTGTTTTTTTAACGCCTGAGCAAAAACCCAACCAACTCTTATTCGGGGAGGGGGTTCACTGAGCATTTTCACATACAGTGTTCCCTCACTTATCGCGGGTGTTACGTTCCAGGACCACCCACGAAAAGTGAAAATCCGGAAAGTAGGATATGTATATCGAGCTGCGAGGGTGAGGCAGAAGCAAGGAGATATTTAAAGGCACAGCACACCTTTTTTTTGCTAGCTATCTCTGCTTTGCTTTGCAATCTCTTGATTGGCTGCCTCTCTCGAGGAGGAGGAGGAGGAGGATGAGACCCCCTTCCACACTCCATCGTTACCACGAGGTGGCAACCATTCATAAACTGGGAGGCAAAAACCCGCGAAACAGTGAGTCCGCGAAAAGTGAACCGCGAAGTTGCGAGGGAACACTGTATTTCAAGACTGAGAAGGCCCTTTCTGGTCATGATCCACCTCACATTGGAATTTGAGTGAAGGTTTGGGGAGTCCCACAGATTTGGAAACAGTCTTTCCTTCAACTATTCTTCCCTGAAGGTGTTTCTTTTTTGCACTCTCGTCTTGCAGGGACCACTTTTTGCACACTGAAAACATAGGTTCAAAAAAATAATAATTGCACCAAAGACCTACAGGAATGAATTTTGCATCTTGTGTATCCTGAATGTATTAGATAATTGCAACTTAGAGCAAAACCATAGAATCTTAAAGCCAGAAGGAAGTTCAAGGAACATCTCATCCAAACCACTAAGGAATACACAGCTGAAACTTGTCCATCCGCGCTTTGCTTACAGATCTCCAAAGATGGAGCATCCAGAATCCTCTAAAGCAGGAGTCCTCAACCTAAGGCCCAGGGGCCAGATACGGCCCTCCAAGATCATTTACCCGGCCCTCGCTCAGGGTCAACCTAAGTCTGAAATGACTTGAAAGCACACAACAACAATTCTATCTCATCAGCCAAAAGCCGGCCCACACTTCCCATTGAAATACCAATAAGTTTATATTTATTAAAATTGTTCTTCATTTTAATTATTGTATTGTTTTTAAGTGTTTTTTTGCACTACAAATAAGATATGTGCAGTGTGCATAGGAATTAATTCATGTTTTTTTCAAATTATAATCTGGCCCTCCAACAGTTTGAGGGACTGTGACCTGGCCCTCTGTTTAAGAAGTTTGAGGACCCCTGCACTAAGAAATACACAGCTGAAACTTGTCCATCCGCGCTTTGCTTACAGATCTCCAAAGATGGAGCATCCAGAATCCTCTAAAGCAGGGGTCCTCAAACTAAGGCCCTGGGGCCAGATACGGCCCTACAAGGTCATTTACCCGGCCCTTGCTCAGGGTCAACCTAAGTTGCACACAACAACAGCACACAACAACAACAATTCTATCCCATCAGCCAAAAGCAGGCCCACACTTCCCACTGAAATACTAATAAGTTTATATTTGTTAAAACCGTTCTTAATTTTCTTTATTTAATTATTTTTTTCAAATTATAATCTGGCCCTCTAACAGTTTGAGGGACTGTGACCTGGCCCTCTGTTTAAAAAGTTTGATGACCCCTGCTCTAAAGCAAATCACTCAATCATCAGATAGATACGAGGGTTGAATGAAAAGTAATGCCTCCACCTTCGTAACTCAACAGATGGCAGTACTGGTATGCGGCAGGTATTGGCTTGTTCAGTAGACTCCCCTCTACAGTTTTATTTTGGCGGGAAGCCTTAGCATCGAACGGTTGTGTTGTTAAAGTGTGAAGTATGGAACCCTGCTCAGACGGTCGGTCAGTGCAACTTAAGGAATGTGCAGTCATTGAACTCTTGACAGCAGAAGGTGTCACCCCAAAGGAGATTCATCAGAGAATTCTAGCTGTTTATGGTGATTGTGTTGATGTGAGTACTGTGCATCATTGGACGAGTAAGTTTAAAGATGTTGAGGTGGGAACATCTGACTTGCATGACAAACAAAGAGTTGGACGTCCTGTGATAGCAACCACCAATTTCACAAGCAAAAGGTTGACAGATTGAGTCAGGACAATCGTCGTATCACTCAGAGAGAAATTTCAAGCATAATCGACATTTCACAAGAATGTGTGGGTCACATTATTGGTTCACTTAGCTATCAGAAGATCTGTGCACAATGGGTACCCAGGATGAGAGAACTCTTCAGCCCTGCTGCCTTACAACCCCTGGGCAGGGCGCCCCCATGGCCACACAGCCTTCTTGCGAGAGTACTTCAACGGCCTTGCAACGCCTATTGAATGACTCCTTGTGTCTTAATTGTATTGCATCAAGTCAAGACTTGGCTGTTTGGTTGTGCATTTAAGTAATTAGATCTTAATTTGCCAAATAGTCACTGTTGAATGTTTTTATGTTGAATGTTTTTATATTGTGAAATGCTATTTTAAATTGTAAGTCGCTCGGAGCACCTTGGTGGAGAGCGACTAATTAAGAAATAAAGTGAAGTGAAGAATGAAGTCCAAAGAAAATAGCACAGAAATCTGAAACAATTATATCTTGTAAGCCGCTCTGAGTCCCCTTCGGGGTGAGAAGGGCGGCATATAAATGTAGTAAATAAATGAATAAATAAATAATTAAACTGTGAGATACTTGTGCGCCAGCTGCACCTGTACCTTGGGAAGTCTGACTTGGCCACGGTAGTCCACGCTCTGATTACATCCCGTATAGACTACTGCAACGCTCTCTACGTGGGGTTGCCTTTGAAGACTGCTCGGAAGCTTCAAATGGTCCAACGCTCGGCAGCCAGGTTACTAACAGGAGCAGCACTCAGGGAGCATACAACTCCTCTGTTGCGCCAGGTCCACAGGCTGCCAGTTTGCTACCGGGCACAATTCAAAGTGCTGGCCTTAGCCTATAAAGCCCTAAACGGTTCTGGCCCAACTTACCTGTCCGAACGTATCTCCTCCTATGAACCAGCTAGGACGTTAAGATCGTCTGGGGAGGCCCTGCTCTCGGTCCCACCTGCATCACAAGTACGGTTGGCGGGGACGAGAGACAGGGCCTTCTCAGTGGTGGCCCCTCGGCTGTGGAACGCCCTGCCTGCAGATATCAGATCGGCCCCCTCCCTGCTGGCGTTTCGGAGGAAAGTGAAGACCTGGCTGTTCGAACAAGCATTTGATTAAACAGTGTAATTGAACATAGGAATACGGAATAATGGATGATGAGACTGGATTCTGATTTTACTGTTGAGGCGCTAATGATTGTTATACTGATGTTTAATGATTTATGTTACAATTGTTTTTAATTGCCCTATACTTGTCTCGTGATGTTTTGTGGGTTTTTTGTGGGTTTTTTTTAATTTTTATAAATTTTTGCTTGTACAGTGAAAGAGGGGGAACATGAATCTGGATATCCAGATTCGTGTTGTCTCGTGATGTTTTGAATCAATGTTGTTCACCGCTTTGAGTCGCCTGAGGGCTGAGAAAAGCGGTATCCTCTCCCCCCCCCTCCTCTTCCCCCTTCTTCTTCTCCCTCCTCTCTCCCATTCTCTCTCTCTCACCACCCCCCCCCCCCCCCCCCCCCCCCCCCCCCTCCTCCCCCCCTCTTTCTCTCCTTCTTTTCCCCCTCCTTCCTTCCCTCCTTCCTCAGCCCCCCCCCCCCCCCCCCCCCCCCTACCTTTTTTTTTTTTTTTTTTTTTCTTCCCTCCCCCCCACTCTACCCTTCTTCTTCCTCTTCTTCTTCCTCCTCCTTCCTCCTCCCTTTTCTTCTTTTCCTTCCCCCCCCCCCCTCTCTTTATTGTCCCCCTCCCTCTTTTTTTCCCCTCTCTTTCTTTCTTTTCTCTCTCCCTCCCCCCTTTTCTCCTCTTCCCTCCTTTCCTTCCCTCCTTCCCCTCTCTCTCTTCCTTTCCTTCCCCTTCTCTCCTTCCCTTCTTTTCCTTCCTTCCTCCCTTCTTCTTTCTTTCTCTCTTCCCTCCCCTTCCCCCTCCTTCTTCTCCCCTCCTTTTCTTTTCCTTCCCCTTTCTCCTTAAAATAACACGTCAAGTACATAGCTAAAATATAACCTAAATACACTGTTTTACACATATACAAATGCCGTGGTTGCGGGAACAGATATCTCGACCAGCTCTTCCTGACTCGCTTCCTTACAGTAATAACTCTTGCCGCCTACTCGTTTTGCAGCATTGATAAGACATCTCAATCTGTATGGGGATTATGTGGGAAAATGAAGAGTGGTGGTGTAAAGACGCCAATACTCCTTAATGGCACGCATTTTCACGGCATTTCGGCATTTTCATCCCCCCTTATAAAATATATGTTCCAATCCCAAACCCCAAGTACGAAGCGTCGGGGAGGCGCTATTACTTTTCATTCACAACACACTCCTTTCGGTATCTAGTCTCCGTTCTGCAACATCCAATACTATTCAGTATTGTCTTTAAGTGGCTCTCATGAATCACCTTAAACTGTTTGGGTTCCCTTGTTGTGCCCCCAACCAGCAGGACACACAAAATCAAAACAGTATCTTGTTTGTGAGCAGTCTTTGGCGCTCGTAAATTCCATCCCAGTGCATTCCTTGGGGTGCCTCTTAAACCACTACCCGTTTGTGGCTTGTTTGGTATAGGAAATCTTTCTAAACACTCACCTAAACTTGACATCCAAAGCAATTTTCCGTACCTTCAGGATTGACCCGTAAATGTGGCTTTTCCCATAATGACGCCGCTTGGAGACTATTCTACATGAACACAGAAAGTACAGTCCTCACAAAGAAAAAAATCAGAAAGCAAAGGGATCTTGTAGCACCTTAGAGAATGCATTTAGTAGAATAATAAGCTTTCATACACTGTTCAAAAAGGAAAAAAAGAGCTTTTTTGCCACGTAGGAGTTGAGAACATGGGAAAATCAGCGTACGTGGGTTGTACATCTTCGACAGAGACATAGGGAAAATATGACTTAGGGTGCAAGCAAGACCGACCGTGTCCACTTAGTACCCAATGTTCCAACAGCGAAACAAATAAATAAACAACACAAAAACCTCCACAACAGAAAACAATGGATTAATTCAAGATACAAAACGAAAGAGCAAAGGAAGGTCCAAGAGACATACATAAAAACCCATCTCGGGAGAAGAATCCTCGTCCGCCCACCCAAGAAAAGTTGGAAAAAGAAGCCGCAAAACCAAATATAACGAAACAAGGGAAAATACAGTAACCTTGGAGACTGTTTCCAAGGACACCGAGGCCCGATAATAGCGGAAAGGATGGGGAACGCAATGCCGAATCTTCAGCTTCCCCGCTTCTGATTCAAAGAAATACATATGCTACAATGGTTTAGGTCACAATAATATACTACAGGTTGTAAATTTTGTCTCCCTTTTCTTCAATTCCTGACGTGTCAGTAAGAAAAGCCGGGTGTCAGTTGTCTATCACAGGTCTTAATGCCGTTGAAGGAGAAGATTTTCGTCTGCCATTCTGAACCATTTTGATTGTAACGCTGACCTTTTTGTTGTTTTTTTCCCCATTCGCAAAAAGCGGATTCGAAATAAAAACGTTTCCGGAAAACATAAGTTGAACGGTTAGACCAGGGGTCCTCAAACTAAGGCCCGGGGGTCGGATACAGCCCTCCAAGGTCATTTATCCAGCCCTCGCTCAAGGTCAACCTAACTCTGAATTATTATTATTACTATTATTATTATTATTATTATTATTATTATTTTGAGAAACTGCAAGTCGCTTCTGGTGTGAGAGAATTGGTCGTCTGCAAGGACGTTGCCCAAGGGACGCCCAGATGTTTTGATGTGTTAAAGGAAGTGTGCATAGGAAGTCATTCATATTTTTTTTCAAATTGTAATCCGGCCCTCCAACAGTTTGAGGGACTGTGGCCTGGCCCTCTGTTTAAAAGGTTTGAGGATCCCTGGGTTAGACCATATTTTATATTATTCTATTTCATATTTCTGTTTTTAGAGAACAGGGAATTAATAATAATAATAATAATAATAATAATAATAATAATAATAATAAAATAATGTTAACTGCCCCAAGTCCCCATTGGGGAGATGGTGGCAGGGTATAAAGTTTTATAATAATAATAATGTGGGAGGCTTCTCTCATGTCGCCGCACGAGGAGCTGGAGCTGACAGAGGGAGCTCATCTGCGCTCTCCCCGGATTCGAACCTGCGAGTGTCGGTCTTCAGTCCTGCCGGCACAGGGGTTTAACCCACTGCGCCACCGGGGGCTCCTAACTCTGAAATGACTTGAAAGCACACAACAACAACAACAACAACAATCCTATGTCTCAGGGTCAACCTAAGTCTGAAACAACTTGAAAGCACACAACAACAACAACCCTATCTCTTCAGCCAAAAGGAGGCCCACACATCCCATTGAAATACTAATAAGTTTATATTTGTTAAAATTGTTCTTCATTTTAATTATTGTATTGTTTTTAAGTGTTTTTTTTCCACTACGAATAAGATATGTGCAGTGTGCATAGGAATTCATTCATGTTTTTTCAAATTATAATCCGGTCCTCCAACAGTTTGAGGGACTGTGACCTGGCCTACTGTTTAAAAAGTCTGAGGATCCCTGGATTAGACCATATTTTATATTATTCTATTTCATATTTCTGTTTTTAGAGAACAGGGAATAATAATAATAATAATAATAATAATAATAATAATAATAATAATAATGTTAGTTGCCCCAAGTCCCATTGGGGAGATGGTGGCGGGGTATAAAGTATAATAATAATAATAATAATAATAATAATAATAATTTTAAAAAAGATTTTATTTATACCACGCCACCATCTCTCCAATGGGGACTCGGGGCGGCTTACATGAGGCCAAGCCCATGCCAAAAAATTACAATAAAATAAGATACAAGTTACAATAAAATAAACAACATAGGGAACCTATTCTTTCCATGTTATCCTGATACCAAAGAAGTCATACCCAGGAACACATCTATTTCAGCAACTACGGCCCTTGGAAGCCTGCCTCCAAAAGGTCTCCAAAAGGCAAAAGGGGAAAGGGTGTTTTTTAAAAATATCACCCCTTGCAATATTCTAAGACAGACAATTTCTGACCAGAAAGAGACAACATTGGAAGGCCACAAAAAACAACCAAGTGGGCCACATCCTTTGCCCGTCTTTGCAAGTACAGTGTTGCCTCACTTATCGCGGGTGTTACGTTCCAGGACCACCCGTGAAAAGTGAAAATCAACAAAGTAGGGACGCTATATATGCATATCACAATCCGAGAGTGAAGCAGAAGCAAGGAGAGGTTTAAAGGCACCGCGCACCTTTTCTTTTTTGCTCCCTATCTCTGCTTTGCTTTGCAGTCTGTCTTGATTGGCTGCCTTTCTCCCTAGGGGAAGGGTGAAACCCCCTTCCACACTCCACCGTTGCCAAGAGGTAGGATTAAAATGCCAATCTGGGCAACGGCAACCCAGATTGCCATTGCCCAGATTATTTACAGTACTCCCTCACTACTGTGCAGTTTGCTTTTCACGGACTCGCTGTTTCGCGGGTTTTTGCCTCCTGGCAACGATGGAGAGTGGAAGAGGGTTTCATTCTCCCCCTTGGGAGAGAGGCAGCCAATCATGAAAAAGAGAGAGAGAGAAGATATAAAGCCGTATGTAAATCACGGCCTTACAGTCCCTTCCTTACAGCTAACAAAAAATAAAATAAAATAAAGGTATGTGGTGCCTTTAAATCTCTCCTCGCTTCTGCCTCACCCTTGGAATGCGCTCTCTCTCTCTCTCCCTCTCTCTCTCTCTCTCTCTCTCTCTCTATATATATATAAACAAAAAACAAAAACAAAAATAAAAATAAATTTTATATATATATATATATATACACACACATACATACATACATACATACATCTTCCCTACTTTGCGGATTTTCGCGGTAAGTGAGTGCATACTGTAATGCCCTTTGTACCTTGGCAACCACCTCTCCACAAAAGTCAACATTGACACTGAAATACAACACCGCCTGAGCTCTGCGAGTGCAGCATTCTTCCAAATGAAGCAGAGAGTATTTGAGGACTGGGACATTCATAAGGAGACCAAGGTGCTTGTTTATAAAGCTATTGTCCTCCCAACCCTGCTATACGCCTGCAAGACATGGACTATCTACATACGCAACTCCTGGAATGATTCCATTAGCGTTGCCTCTGAAAAATCCTGCAAATCTCTTGGGAAGACAGGCGGGGAAATGTTAGCGTGCTGGAAGAAGCAGCAAAGACCACCAGCATTGAAGTGATGCTCCTCTGCCATCAACTCCACTAGACTGGCCACATTGTCCGAATGCCCAAAGATCACCATCTCCCGAAGCAGTTGCTGTACTCCGAACTCAAGAATGGAAAACAGAATACTGGTGGGCAGGAAAAGGGATTGAAAGATGGGCTCAAAGCCAACCTCAAAAACTGTGGCATAGACACCGAGAACTGGGAAGCCCTGGCCCTTGAGCACTCCAAGTGGAGATCAGCTGTGACCAGCAGTGCTGTAGAATTTGAAGAAGCATGAATGGAGGGCGAAAGAGAGAAACATGCCAAGAGAAAGGTGCGTCAAGCCAACCCCAACCGGGACCGCCTTCCGTCTAGCAACCGATGCCCCCACTGCGGGAGAACATGCAGGTCAAGAATAGGGCTCCACAGTCACCTACGTATCCACTGCCAGGACACCAAACTTGGAGGACAATTTACTTGGACAATGTGGGATCGCCTAAGTAAGTAAGTAATGCCCTTTGGAAGAGACACAGCTTAACACAGAAGCCTCTGTTCCCTATATACACAAGTTTTATTCTGTATCAGACGCCTTGCATTCCCAGGGACAAAAGGCGAGATTACAATAAAAGGTGAAGTGCCAGGGACATGGCTTTGCCAACACTGTCATTCCAAAAGAGGGCTGAAAATATTAACCAAAAACCACCCAAAACTTTCAACAATAAGACAGGGAGAGACAAAGAGGGCCAATATGACAGTCTGAAAAGGCCGGTGCGTAAAAGTGGGCTTTGGAAGTGACGCATCAGGATTGTTTGTAAAAGTACCGCCGCCAGTCAAAATCCAAGTCAGGACATTTTGGTTCATTAAACGTCCGTTACAGCCCTCAGAGAGTGAATATATCCCTGAAGTGTGGGAAGAGGGAAACCGTAGGGCGGGAAGGGCACGAGAGAAATCGCAATGCCAGTGAACGTTTTTTTTAAAAGCAGCTTTCACTCTGCGCAAGAGAACAGTTAGCCGGAAGTCAACATCTTACACATATCTCAACCACAAGCGCAAAACAAATTTCACATCGGTTTGATCCCCCACCCGCCGCGTTCCTCCATTCAAAGTCCATTCAAAGGAGGTCAGGCAAAATGAGACCCGGAGGCTTGGGCTCCACGCAGTTGATCCAGAAGTTGGCGCAGCTGGCGTGGTACTGGTGCCCTCCGTAAGCGAGCTTGAAATTGTCCGTTTCTGAGTTGAAGGCCTTGAGAAGAAGGGAGAAAAAAGGAGACCAAGATGAGAAGTCGTCGCAGCACTCCTATGAGCCAGGAGGGAAAAGCAGAGAGATTCCCCCATGCGCACTGTTTTCATGTACAGTTTCTACTTCTCTACTCATTCTCTAACTCTGATGCCCTGCTTAGCCATGAAACCCACTCTGGGCAGGTCACAAAACGACAACCGTTTACATTGCAACAGCCTGAATCATTCCTGTGAACCACAATGCCTTTGAAAGGTCAAACTAAAATGCTGCCCATCTTGGATCAAGGCAACATCCCCTCGCATAACAGTTTAAGGCAGGGGTCCTCAAACTAAGGCCCGAGGGCCGGATACGGCCCTGCAAGGTCATCTTCCCAGCCCTCACTCAGGGTCAATCTAAGTCTGAAATGACTTGAAAGTACACAACAACAATCCTATCTCATCAGCCAAAAAAGCAGGTCCACACTTCCCATTGAAATATTAATAATTTTATATTTGTTAAAATTGTTCTTCATTTTAATTATTGTATTTATTTATTTATTTACATTTATATGCCACCCCTCTCACCCGGAAGGGGACTGAGAGCGGCTTACTAGATATATATAAACATACAATGTATTATATTATTAGCATAGTTCAATATCAGTATTACTATATTGTACTATACCATTATATTGTAATATTGGGTAGTTGTAGGTTTTTTTGGGCTATATGGCCATGTTCTGGAGGCATTCTCTCCTGATGTTTTGTCTACATCTATGGCAAGCATCCTCAGAGGTAGTGAGGATGCTTGCTTGACCTCACTACCTCTAAGGATGCTTGCCGTACATGCAGGCGAAATGTCAGGAGAGAATGCCTCTAGAACATGGCCATATAGCCTGAAAAAACCTACAACAACCCAGTGATTCCGGCCATGAAAGCCTTCGACAATATATTTTGAATTGCTATAAGGTTTTAAATTCTCTGTGTTATTGTTTATATGTAAGTTATATTAATTGTACCATTTTATTTGCTTGCTTTTTTGTTTTTACTGATGTGTTGTTGGGCTTGGCCTCGTGTAAGCCGCCCTGAGTCCTTGGGGAGATAGTGGCGGGGTATAAATAAAGATTATGATTATGATTATTATGATTATGATTATTATGTTGTTGTAATATTATTAGTAATATTACATGTAATATAAAATATATAATAATAACATTGTATTATTAGTAGTATTATATTGTACTAGCTGTCCCCTGCCATGCGTTGCTGTGGCCCAGTCTGTTGATCTGGAAAATAAAGTAATGAGAAAGTATTGGTTTCTAATATATGTAATGTCTTTCTGCTTGTGGGTAAACAGTATTTCTTGCTGTTTCCTTGTCAGTGTTTATGTGGAGTGTGTCTGGTTTGCCTACTCTGGAACATGCAACATATCATTGTCCTTCTTCAGAGGTCCCTTTCAAATCTATGATACTATATCTCTGTGTGTGTGAATCATATCTATCTACACCCATGGCAGGATGGCTCTTTGTCAGGAGGACTTTGATTACGTTTTCTTGCCCTGGTGAAGGGAGTTGGACTGGATGGCCTTGAGTATTTTCTGTTGGTCATGGGGGTTAAGTGTGGGAAGTTTGGCCCAATTATGTCGTTGGTGGGGTTCAGAATGCTCTTTGATTGTAGGTGAACTATAAATCCCAGTAACTACAACTCCCTAATGTCAAGGTCTATTTCCCCCAAACTCCATCTGTGTTCATATTTGGGCGTATTGAGTTCTTGTGGCAAGTTTGGTCCAGATCCATCATTGTTTGAGTCCACAGTGCACTCTGGATGTAGGTGAACTACAACTCCCAAACTCAAGGTCAATGCCCACCAAACCCTTCTAGTGTTTTCTGTTGGTCATGGGAGTTCTGTGTGCCAAGTTTGGTTCAATTCCATCGTTGATGAAGTTCAGAATGCTCTTTGATTTTAGGTGAACTATACATCCTAGCAACTACAACTCCCAAATGACAAAATCATAACTTTTTGAGTGATGGTCACTCCTTGTATTGTGAGATGTTTTGTTGCCAAATTTGGTGTGATTTCGTTCATTAGTTCTTTTGTTTTTAAGGAACTCATTATGCACGGAGAATTTATATATATATAGATTGTTTTAAACTTTTTTTGCACTACAAATAAGGTATGTGCAGTGTGCATAGGAATTCATTCATTTTTTTTTTCAAATTATAATCCGGCGCTCCAACAGTTTGAGGGACTGTGACCTGGCCCTCTGTTTAAAAAGTTTGAGGATCCCTGGTTTAAGGTAAAGGTGAAGGTTTTCCCCTGACATTAAGTCTAGTCACGTCCGACTCTGGTGCTCATTTCCATTTCTTGAAAGTACAGAACAACAACAACAATCCTATCTCACTACCCTTCTTCCAACGCACACCAAATAAAAATTTAGAAAGCATCAGATTTGATTTCAATATGGTAATTTCTCTATTACTGTACTTCCTTCTCTGCCTCTCAGATCTCGCACATGCGCACCTGCAGTCTTCAGGAGTGAGATCTGAGAGGCAGAGGAGGAGGTATGGTAATAGGATACAAGGGCAGACCAGACAGGTAAAAGAGGTGGGTTTTTCTGGGCCCAGACCCACTCTATCTCTTTTTTTCATACTCCGGGTGCCCTGGACGCCTGCAGCTTGCTCCACCCTTCACTTACACCTTCCCCGTGAGGCGCCCCTTCACCTCATTATCGGGACCGCATTAACTCCACGAATCCTGATGAATGGATTTTCTTCTACCGCACTTGTACAGCGTTGCCCTTAATGCTTTCATACAATCGCTGCATACGGCAGGGACGTGGCCACTGCCATTTTTGAGCTCCCTCACCATATGCGGCAACCACAGATTCCCCAATCCAGATTGGAAGCACCCGCTCTATAAAGACGACTCCCGGTGTATAAGACGTCCCCTGGCTTTTGAGAAGATTTTCTATGGTTAAAAAATAGTCTTATACGCCAGAAAATACGGTACTTATTTTCCACCATAATTTTCAAATAAATTCATTTAAAAAAAATTCTGGTTGTGTTTTCTCATGTTGTCTCTCATAGTTGAGGTCTACCTAGGATGTCAATTACAGGCCTCTCTCATCTTTCTAAGTGAGAGAACTTGTACAATTGGTCACTGACTAAATACTTTTCCCCCCCACTGTATATTCTTGGTTCCGCAATCTGCTATCACCAGTCTGACATAGGAGACAGACAGGAACGGAGACACTGAGCTGACTATTACTACCACCACCACCACTACTACTATTACCACCATGACCCAACTGTCACATCACAACACAGGGAAAGCAGAGTGACACACAGAGAACAAGGCATGCCAACAAGACACACACTGGTGCCAATTTAGTGGGTTAAAATCAAGGGGTTAGAGAGCGAGTTAGAGGGTTGCACAAACTGGGGTTGGGAAGCGAAAAGAGCGAAGGCAGCGGTTCGACTGCCAACGTCTCAATTTGGGCACACATTCAAAAGCTTTTTTTTAATGGTTTCGTACTTCTCTCGGACGGTCATCCGCAGGCTTCTCTTCTTTCTGAAAACGTTGAAACCACAAAAGGTCAACATCATGGTCAAAACACAGGATCAAAGTGGCAGCCAAGCTCTTCCTGTCTAAAGGTTGTGATTCCCTACGGGCCTTTCATCTGCTCCTTTCTGCAGCTGACAAAGCAGGCCCTTCACCCATTTTATCGCAACCAATTTAATTTCTAAGCCAGTTCGTAGGAACTGTGTCTATTGAAATACACATCAGTTCTAGATTTTCAGTTCCTTGGGAAATCATACATTTTTATTTTCTGGAAATACATGTTCTCTCTGTCTGCTGGATTCTATATATTTTTTTCTATATATGTTTTGCCATTTCTTTAGAATCATGGATGGTCTTTTTATATATTACCATATGTACTCGAGTATAAGCCGAGTTTTTCAGCCCTTTTTTAGGTTGAAAAGACCTCCCTTGGCTTATACTCAAATCAAGGTTACTTATTATTTTACTCTGTTATTGTTGTTGTTATTATTATTATTTTACTCTACTAGTACATTTAAATTATTTTACTGTGTTATTATTATTACATTTATTTTTTCTCAATTCATTATTATTACATTTATTATTTTACTCTATTTTTATGTTTATTATTTTACTTTATTATTTACTCTATTATTACATTTATTATTTTACTTTATTATTATTACGTTTATTATTTTACTCTATTTATTATTATTATTATTATTATTATTATTATATTTTAATATTACTGTTATTATTATATGTCCATTATTTTACTTTATTATTATTATTACATTTCCATTATTTTACTGTATTATTATTACATTTATTATTTTACTCTCTTTATTATTACTGTTATTACATTTATTATTTATTTATTTCCAGCATTTCTACCCCGTCCTTCTCAACCCCCGAAGGGGGACTCAGGACGGCTTACATTTGGCACAATTTGATGCCATTAAATATAACAAAGCAATATAACAACATTATATTTATTATTTTATTATAATAATTTATTATATTTATTATTTTACCCTATTATTATTACATTTATTATTTTCCTCTATTTATTATTATTTTATTCTATTATTACTCTTATTATTACATTTCCATTATTTTGCTCTATTATTATTATATTTATTATTTTACTTAATTATTATTGGAATAAGCACATTTCCATGAAGAAGGTTAGAATAATGGTTTTATCAGATTTGGACAGTCTTATCTTAAATTACAGTTTTGTGTAAATATTCAAAAATATTTAACCTACAGATGCCTCAATCAATGTAATTTTATTGGTACCTATTTTTATTTTGAAATTGACCATTAGCTGCTGCATTTCCCACCCTTGGCTTATAATAATAATAATAATAATTATTATTATTATTATTATTATACTTGAGTAATAATAATAATATTATACATTTTCCCTGTATTTTGTAGTAAAATCAGGTGCCTCGGCTTATATTCAGTTTGGCTTATATTCAAGTATATATTATATATGCGCTAGTCACGGGTTCATGAGAAACCTCCCTCAATGGAAGTATTTTTCATGTTTCAGGAGACTGTTAAATTAGTGAAGAATATTAAAAAAGGGGGGGAAGAGGGAAGGCAACAAATGCAAACTCTTTCCAAAACAGAGGAGCGTGGAAACAAAAAAAGCTTCACTACTTACTTTGCTTCGAGAGTTTACATTTAACAGACAAACACCACAGGCCAGATCTTGTGCATTTTTAATCCCGGGGCGAAGCATACAAGAAGAGAAATCCAACGAGTTGTCATCAGGCTGCAGGGGAAACACGAGGGGGGAAAAAAGCTAGCATACTTGCATTGTGACACAGAGACGCCTAAGAGGTTGGAATACTTATCTAAGGCTCGTTCTGTCTCCTAGTACCGTATCTCTTCACTTCATTTCACTTCACTTCACTTTATTTCTTAATTAGTCGCTCTCCACCAAGGTGCTCCGAGCGACTTACAATTTAAAATAGCATGTACACAATATAAAAACATTCAACATAAAAACATACAACAGTGACTATTTGGCAAATTAGATCTGATCACTTTACTTAAATGCACAACCAAACAGCCAAGTCTTAAGTGCCATTACAAAAGGTCGCAACTCCGACATTGCTCTAATATATGGAGGCAATGAGTTCCACAGAATTGGAGCATAGATCAAAAAAGCTCTAGCTTTCAGATGTATTTCCCTAGGGTATGTATAGAAGATCACAGCTTTACTTGCGTCCCAAATTACTTGGTGGGAAATTCCTTCAGATATATTTAATTCAAAGAATTCTCATAAGATGTCTTTATTTTTTTGTATGTCTTCTTCCGTTCTCAACAGATCATTAATTAATCATTAATTAATCTCCATTTTCTCCTGAAGTCTCCTGTATTCCATTTAAATTCTAAAGGACAATGGTCAGAATTTGTTCTTGGTAGAATTTTTATCTTTTGAATCTTTGTTGATATGATATTTGTTGTCCAGATCATGTCAATTCTTGACCAAGTTTGGTGGCGATTCGAATAAAAAGTAAAGTGTCTTTATTTAGGGTTTCTACTTCTCCATATATCCTGTAAATTGAATTCTTTCATCACATTGGTGAATGTTATTGGGAGTTCTCCAGCCTTCTTATCTTTATTATGTTTTGTTAAAATGTTTCTGTCCAGTTTATTGTCCAGAACTCCATTAAAATCTCCCATAATAACGAGCTAATCAAATTCTTGTTTAAATATCTGTTCTTTTAAATTTTTGACAAATTTTGTTTCTGCGCCGTTTGGGGCATAAATGTTACATAGTAGTATCTTCTGGTTATTCATGGTAATTAGAACTCCAGTATATCTTCCATCTTGATCTTTTAATGCTGTCTCTGCTGGGATTTTGGGGTCTATGTATACTACCACTCCTCTTTTTTTTTTTCATTGGTAGAAGAATAGAACTCTTTTTCCAAGTCTTTTTGGATAAGATGGGAGACATGTTTTTGTTTGATGTGGGTTTCCTGTAAAGCAATTATCGTGTTTTCCTTTTCTGATTTGGTTGAAAATTTTTCTCCTTTTTGATGGAGAATTTAAACCATTCACATTGTTCATGAAGCATTTGATCTCCATATTAATTTTCCTCTTCTTGGTCTGGTTCTACTTCTGATTCTTCTTGTTCTTGTTCTTCTTCTGTATGTGGTTCCATTGTCGTCGCTGCCTGTCCAAAATGCATCTCATAGTCTTCTGGGGATTTTTCTCTTGGTCTCTTGCTTCCTGGTTTTGTCTGAAAGCCTTCTTCTTTGGGTTGTTTTTGTTTTCAGATTCCGAGGTTTTTTCCTTATTTTGATCCTTTGTCAGTTTTTTTATAGAATTCTTTAGCTTTCTCTTCTAAAGTTGTCCAATGTCTAACTTCATTGAATGTAAGCATACATATTCTTTCCCATCGGAACCTTATATTTCTTCTCTTGAGTTCTTCCGTGAGTTCTTCTGCTTAAGCTTGACTGCGGGAATTCTTTTAAAATGGCCACTCTGGATTGATTGTAGTATGTTGGGTTTTTTGCATTATTTTTCAAAATTTCCCTGTGGCTGAGAGTTGGCCAATCACAGTGGAGGCGGGCTTTTGGTGGGAGGATTCGCTGTCAATTTCCAAAAGGGAAGAGAAGGACAGGCGGAGAGATATTCAGCCTTTTCTGCCAATGGGGTTCCTAAGACCATCTGAAACATAGGTTTTCTGATGGTCTTTGGTGACCCCTCCAAAACCCCTTCCTGACCCCCAGGTTGAGAAACACTGCTATACTCTCCTTCCAAACTGCACAGTATGTTGACACAGGTATAGCTCAGTTTTGTTTTAAAACAAATCTTTCTATGTACGTTTTGCTTCCCTTGCAAAAAGGAAGTCTCTGAACAAAACACTTGACATGAAAGAGGCAGAGTTCAGAAAGCATCTCACCGTCAGGGCTGCGAGAGACATGAAGCTTATCAGGTTGTTCCACACTTTGTCGATGTCCTTTAGCAAGAGCTGAAGGGCCTCACTGCAGACAGCGGTGGCTTTGATCCCCAACTCAACCCGTTTTGTGACTCGATAAACTTCAACAACTCCTGTGAGGGAACAAAGAAGAGCACCATGTCACAGAAGAGGTGTCAATTGTGTTTGCCCCGATCTAGAAAGAGGTATTTGAAACCAGACCTATCTCTCACCAGCTAATTCCTCATTATAATGAAACTGGGGACAATAAATAATCTATATCAGGGATCTTCAAACTTTTTAAACAGGGGGTCAGTTCACTGTCTCTCAGACCATTGGGAGGGCTGGACTGAATCTCACCAAAGATGCATATTGAGCAAACTTGCCCAACATAATACATTTTAAGTTCTGATGCAGTTTTTCGGGGTTAACTTGGCATGATGTAAGCTGTAGTTCACCCACAACCTTATGCATTTTGTACAATTAAAATTTTTACTTTTTCAAATAACCCGGGCAATGCTGGGTAGCCAAGCTTGTTTCAAAAATAAAAATAAAAGTGGATGCCAATAAAATTACATCAATTGAAGTAACAATAGGTAGCAGTAGGTTAAATGTTTTGGAATGTTTGCATAGAACTGTAATTTAAGGTAAGACTGTCCAACTCTGATTAAATCATTATTGTGGAGGTTGAAAGAGTGTGGCTTGCAACTCTGGGGCAGAGGCCACCTTAAACAAATGGACCCTACAGAAATGCCGAATGAAACTGAAAGGATGCCAATGAGAATGATTCATTATTAATTAAACATAATTAATTATTGTTCATACTTTCTCCCAGTTTGGGACTCCAGTCCAACCTCCTTCTGCCATAAGAAAAAAGCACAAACAAAGCATTCTTGACAGATGGTCATTCAGCCTCTGCTTAATAATAATAATAATAATAATAATAATAGAAGCTCCTGGCTGTTGCTTATTATTTTTGTTGTGGCTTTATATTGTATTTAATGTTTTTTATGTGCATTTTGATATTACGTATATTACTTGTTGCCTGTAAACCGCCTTGAGTCGACGAAAGGCTGAGAAAGGCGGTATACAAATACAGTAAATAAATAAAATAAATAAAAATAAATCCTAGGGTAGGAAGAGACCTCAAAGGCAGGGCATACAGTCCAACCTCCTTCTGCCATAAGAAAAAATCAAAGCATTCCTGACAGATGGCCATTCAGCCTCTGCTTAATAATAATAATAATAATAATAATAATAATAATAATAATAATATAGTAGTAGTAGTAGAATTTCACCTATATCTGGAATTTCACCTATATCTGTAAAGCAATTATTGTGTATTTTCCTTTTCTGATTTGGTTGAAAATTTTTCTCCTTTTTGATGGTGAATTTAACCATTCACGTTGTTCACAAAGCATTTGATCTCCATATTAATTGTCCTCTTCTTGGTCTGGTTCTACTTCTGATTCTTGCTGTTGTTGTTGTTGTGAATCCAAACAATGATGGATCCAGACCAAACCGGAAATGAATACTCAATATGCCCTCAATAGCGTGGTGGACCTCCCTGGCTCGAGGCCCACTGGAGCAGCCCCATGAGCTCCTCGTGACACTGCTGAGCCTTGAGCCAGGACAGAGGAGCAGGAGGAGGCCTCTCTACTGGTGCTATCATAGCGGCTGTGCCTGGGTGAGGCAGGCCAGGCCTTGCCCAGGCACAGTTGCTACGAAAGCATCAGCAGTGTGGCAACAGAGGCGGAGAGACCTCCTGCTCCACTGCTCTGGCACAAGGCTCGAAGAGGCCTTTGGGCTGCTCTGCTGGGCCTTCAGCGAGGGGGGAGGAGCAGGAGGCCAGGGAAACGGTGGGTGAAGCAGCTGCCTTCTCCTGCCATCAGGGCAAGATGAGGCCACGTCCTGAAGGCAGGAGAAGGCCAGGCTGGGCGCACGGAAGCAGCAGGTGGAGCAGCCCCAAGCTACTTTGCCTGCTGCCTCCCTCGACTTCTCCTGCCATCAGCCCCAAAGGGGGACTCACCCTTCTCCACACCCCGCGGGCTGGATAAATGTCCTCGGGAGTGGGTTTGGCCCACGGGCTGTAGTTTGAGGACACCTGATCTATATATATAAATAAATATGTAATGTTTGATTGTGGGATTAACATAATTCAAAAACTACTGTATGAATTGATGCCAAATTTGGACACAATACACCTATCAGGCAAACAAGTGACCATTACTCATAAAAACACTGAAAAACACAGTGAAAGAGACTTAAAAAGCCAAAAAATTATATAAAATACATTACAACGCATGGGCAAAACCACATATATAAATGCAAACACACATATATACACACATATACACACACAAAACATATATACACAGACTGGGCCACAGCAATGTGTGGCAGAGGACGGCTAGTAATCTATATAAATAAAAATGTAATGTTCATTTGTGGGATTAACATAACTCAAAAACAACTGGATGAATTGACACCAAATTTGGACACAATACACCTATCAGGCCAACAAGTGACCATCACTCATAAAAACACTGAAAAACACAGTGAAAGAGACTTAAAAAGCAAAAATATATATAATATATTACAACGCATGCGCAAAACCACATATATAAATGCAAACACACATATATACACAAATATATGCACACACAAAACACATATACACAGACTGGGCCACAGCAATGTGTGGCAGGGGACGGCTAGTAATCTATATAAATAAAAATGTAATGTTACTTTGTGGGATGAACATAACTCAAAAACCACTGGATGAATTGACACCAAATTTGGACACAATACACCTATCAGGCCAACAAGTGACCATCACTCATAAAAAGACTGAAAAACACAGTGAAAGAGACTTAAAAAGCCAAAAAATATAAAATATATTGCAACGCATGCACAAAACCACATATATAAATGCAAACACACATATATACATATATACACACACAAAACACATATACACAGACTGGGCCACAGCAACGCGTGGCAGGGGATGGCTAGTACCTAATAAATATTCCATGCCTTGGGCGGACTGGATTACTTCAGTGCATACAGATGAACTGCTGATCCCATTCAAAGTGTCGTTTGCCTTCTTGATGACCTGTCAGAAAAGAGTTTGCATATTTCATAACACTAGAAAAGTGCAGATTCACAGCTAGAAGACCACAAGACACCTGAACCTTGGGATTGAATACCAAGAGGGCCTTTTTGTTGGCACTCAACCACGTCCTGCACAAGTTTGTAGACCTCAACAAGAAGATAGATAGACAAGAAGATAGACAGAACAGCTCAGTTATCTGGCAGGAAAAAGCCCTTTCCCCATTGCGCTCTTTCCCTCCTGCCTCTCTATTTTCTCCTCCCATTTCTGTCTGTTACACTATAATCCTAGAGTTGGAAGAGACCTCTTGGGCCATCCAGTCCAACTCCATTCTGCTAAGAAGCAGGAAAACTGCATTCAAAGCACCCCCGACAGATGGCCATCGAGCCTCTGTTTAAAAGCCTCCAAAGAAGGAGCCTCCACCACACTCCAAGCCAGAGAGTTCCACTGCTGAACGGCTCTCACAGTCAGGAAGTTCTTCCTCATGTTCAGATGGAATCTCCTTTCTTGTAGTTTGAAGCTATTGTTCCATTGCGTCCTAGTCTCCAAGGCTGCAGAAAACAAGCTTGCTCCCTCCTCCCTGTGGCTTCCTCTCATGTATTTATACATGGCTATCATGTCTCCTCTCAGCCCTCTCTTCTTCAGGCTAAACATGCCCAGCTCTTTAAGCCACTCCTCATAGGGCTTATTCTCCAGACCCTTGATCATTTTCATTGCCCTCCTCTGGACACATTCCAGCTTGTTAATATTTTCAGGTGTGGTCTAACCAACGCAGAATAGAGCATGGGGAGCATGACTTCTCTGGATCTAGAGACTATACAGGCCAAAATCCCACTGGCTTTTTTTGCCACCGCATCACATTGTTGGCTCATGTTAACTTGTTGTCATTCCCTCCTTCTTTCTCTCCTTTCCCTCCTTCCTTTGCTTCGTCTTTCCTTCTCTTATTTTCTTTCCTTCTCTCCTTCCTTCCTTCTCTACATCTTTCCTTCCCCTTTTCTTTTCCTTCCCTCTTTTTCTCCTTTCTTCCTTCTGTACCTCTTCCCTTCCTTCCTTCGCTCTTTGCTTCCATGCTTCCTTCTTTTCCCCCCTCTTTCTTTCTTTCTTTCTTTCTTTCTTTCTTTCTTTCTTTCTTTCTTTCTTTCTTTCTTTCTCCCCTTCCTTCCCTTTTTTTCTGTATCATCATTTAGCTTTTTGGGGTTTTTAAGTCTTTTCTGCTGTTTTTTGGGGGGTGTTCTGAGTGATGGTCACTAGTTGGTCTGTTAGGGGTGTAGTGCCCAAATTTCGTGCCAATTTGTCCAGTGGTTTTTGAGTTATGTTCATCCCACGAACGAACATTACATTTTTATTTATATAGATATACATGTTATGTATATGTTGCTTATGTTGCTTATATTTTTGGTTTTATTTTGCTGTAATATGTTGTCTGGGCTTGGCCTCATGTAAGCCGCCCTGAGTCTCCGTTGGGGAGATGGTGGTATAAATAAAGTTTATTATATTATTTTTATTATGTTATGTTATGTTATGTTATGTGCAGGAAACAAGATGGAACAGCCTTCCTGGCCTCTCTCTTCATTCTGATCTCAGAGCAGCGGTTGGTGCTGGAGAGGGGCGGGGGATCCCAACTGATGACACTGGATTGGTGTTTTTTCCCTCTTTGAAACCTTACAAGATGGGTATTAGAGTAGTTCACGCCCAGTTCTCGATTACTTAGAAATGCAGTTTTTGTTTCTTATTATTGTAATTTTAATTTGTTATTTTTTAAAGATTGGTCTCTGCATCTTTGCCTGCCTAAGCTCTGAATTCTTTGCAGCCACATCACACGGCACTTCACGCTCTGCTCGCTAACTTTTAGTATCCTGTTTATATTTTGGATGCTCTGCTATATTTTAGGGTACTTTTCCCTAACAACAAGTACAAACAAGGGGAAAACATCTAGTAAAAGGTAATAACGTACTTACTTGAAGGGCACTTTCTAAGCACCTTTGCCATTCGTAGGCATACCTCTCGCTTTCCTAGAGGGAAAGGACAACAGAAGAGAATTTGCAAATCACCGTCTGATGTTTTAGAGATATTTCCCTTGTTTAGAAAAAGGTGGCAACAATTCAACTGTGCTGGCAATGGAAGTGTAACATTTCCAAGGATGTTTGAAATCATATTGGGGGGGGGGGGGTTCCAGATTTTTGTTTTTGGTGGCCTTTGCACCCAGCCAGTCCTATCGTGACCCTAGAATCATAGAATTGGGATTGACCACATGGGCCATCTAATCCACCCCCAAATTTGCCATGCAGGAAAAGCACAATCAAAGTATCCCTGACAGATGGCCATCCAGCCTCTGTTGAAAAGCCTTCAAAGGAGCTTCCATACTCCAAGGCAGAGAGTTCCACTGCTGAACAGCTCTTACAGTCAGGAAGAGCCTTCGTTCCTGTAATTTGAACCCATTGCTCTGAGTCCAAAACTCCAGGGAGCAGAAAACAAGCCTGCTCCCTCTTCCGTATGACATCTTTCCAGATATTTATACATAATTAGCATGCCCTCTAAAAAAGCCCCCCCGGTGGCAAAGTGGGTTAAACCTTTGTGCCAGCAGGACTGAAGATCGATAGGTTGGAGGTTCGAATTTAGGGAGAGCGTGGATGAGCTCCCTCTGTCAGCTCCAGCTCTCCAGGTAGGGACATGAGAGGAGCCTCCCACAAGGATGGTAAAACATCCAGGCAACGTCCCCTGAGCAACGTCCTTGCAGACGGCCAATTCTCTCACACTAGAAGCAACTTGCAGTTTTTCAAGTTGTGGGGTGAGCTCCTGTCTGTCAGCTCCAGCTTCCCATATGGGGACACGAAAGAAGCCTCTCACAGGTTGGTAAAACATCCAGGCAACGTCCTCTAGGCAACATCCTTGCAGATGGCCAATTCTCTCACACCGGAAGCAACTTGCAGTTTCTCAAGTCGTGGGGTGTGCTCCTGTCTGTCAGCTCCAGCTTCCCATGTGGGGACCTGAGAGAAGCCTCCCATCAGGATGGTAAAACATCCGGGCAATGTCCTTGCAGCCAGCCAATTCTCTCACACCAGAAGTGACTTGCAGTTTCTCAAATTGCGCCTGATTAAAAAAAAAAAGCCCTTCATCCAAGCTATTAATAAAGATGTTGAACAGAACTGGGCCAAGGATCGAACCCTGCAGCACTCATTGCAGACTTCATGATCTGCTCCAGGATCTTTCCTGCTCTTGATGTCAGTCTGACTGCACCTTGATCGTTGTTTGGCTTCTCTTTAGTTCCCTTCCTGAAGATAAGGACAACGTTTGCCCTCCTCCAGTCTGCTGGGACTTCTCCCGTTCTCCAATGGTTCTGAAATGCCAGTGGTTCTGAAATGACTTCTGCTAATGACCCTCTTTGTGAAGCAATGGATACATTCAGGCTGTCCTTACCTCGACTTCTCCGGTAAGATCCTTGTATTTGTCTCTGATAACAGGGAGAGTGGGTTTCTCGCTGAGGGTATTGGACCGGTCTCGGAATGGCTGCTCCAGGGGCGGCAAAGGCGAGGAACGGCTGATCTCTCTGTCCCCCAAACTCAGGCTTCTTTTGTGAGATCCTGCAAAGAAATACATACAGGGTTACAGTATTCCCTCGCTACTTCGCAGTTCACTTTCGCAGATTCGCTGTTTCACGGGTTTTTGCTTCCCAGTTTATGAATGGCTGCCGTTGCCCAGAGCGGTGTTCTAATCCCGCCTCTTGGCAACGATGGAGGGTGGAAGGGGGTTTCACTCCCCCCTCAGGAAAGAGGCAGCCAATCAAAAGAGATTGCAAAAGCAAAGCAGAGGTAGCTAGGGAAAAAAAAAGAGGTGCGTGGTGTTCCCTCACTTTCTGATGCATTTTGTTTCTTGTATTCTGTATTTTATTGTGTTGTATTGTATTTTAAAGGGCTTGGCCTCATGTTAGCCGCCCCAAGTCCCCATTGGGGAGATGGTGGCGGAGTATAAATAAAGATTATTATTATTATTATTATTATTATTATTATTATTATTATTATTTGAAACACAACAAGATGATTCCACAGCAGACACTCTGCTGGCTGTTGTATTGGATCACACGTTGGACACTTCCCAAGTGTCTAGGACTGTGTGATGTATCGGCGAATAATGCGTGCAGATCCTAGTAAGGTGGCCTTTTGCACCTGGCAGATGGTAATTTTGTCAGCACCGATTGTGTTTAAGTGCAGGCCAAGGTCTTTAGGCACTGCACCCAGTGTGCCAATCACCACTGGAACCACCTTTACTGGTTATAATAATAATAATAATAATTATTATTATTATTATTATTTTGCTTTTTCTCTCCACAAAAGAGACTCAAAGCGGCTCTGTATCCATTATTAGTATTAGAACATATTATTATTATTATTATTATTATTATTATTATTATTATTATTATTTGCATCTATTATTAGAATCTCGCCTGTGACTCTTTAGTTTCCCTCCAAGGCAAATTTCTGTAGTGGTACCTGCTCTTGCTCTGCTTTAGTCCCAAAGCCTTTGCAGCTCAATCTTTAAATCCTCATATCGTGTCATCTTTTCCAGTTGTTTCTCATCCTGTTGTCACCTGGGATTGCAACACCGACAATCCATACATTGTTTTTTAACAAGAGTATTGTGCTCCAAAACTCTTGTCTGTCTGAATCCAGAAGTCCCAGAGTAGTAGTAGTAGTTATTATAGTTATTATTATTATTATTATTTACACAAAAGCACAGTATGTATATTATTATATTATATTATTATATATTATATTATTATATTATATTATTATGTATATTATTATTATTATTATTAGCACAGCACAATATTAGCATTATATATCACTATATTTTTGCTGGGGGGAGGGGCTCCCAATTGATTACGATCCAAAACTTCCACCAAACAGGCCCTATCAGTTGAGTGTCTTCAAACAACAAATATTTACTTCACTGGCCAAATCGGATCAAACAATGATTTGCATTTCGATTGAGTTGGAAGCCATTTACATTTCAGAATTAAAATTGGACTGGGATCCACATGCTCGCCTTCTTTGGCCAGGAATGATTGAACTCCCTATCTGTTATCACTGGTCAGGTCTGAGAAGCCCATCCAACCACCCACGCTCAACTCACCTTGAACAGAAAGGTCAAAGGTTGCAAGCTCGCTTTTGATCATTTCTTCGCTAGACTTCATTTTGCCTTGGGAGGTCGCCAGCAAGAAGTCAAATTTGCTGATCTTGGGCTTCTCGCTTTGGAACTCGCCGAAGTCGTCGGCACCTTCTTTGGAGCTGGGCTCTCGTTTCGCGCCCTCAGAGGATTCCCCCGGAGGCCTTGCAAACTCCCCAAAGTTTTCCACATCTTCATCGCTTTGATCCGCCGAGTGAAGGCTGGGGTTTTTGATGTTCGCAAAAAGGGAGAACTTCGCGTCCTGTAGCGCATCCTCGCCGGCAAACGTCGTGACTTTGGAAACAGTGGTCATGGTGATGTTTTCCGAGCTGCCGAAGAGTGTCTCTTTCTTCTGGAGGACAGAGGTAGCCAAAGAGGACCCAACGCCCGGGACGAGAGGGAAGGAGGTGGGCTTCTTGCTCGGGAAGGTCTCCTCCTTGTCAGACCAGTCAAAACTCGGAAAGCTGCTCAGACCAGAGCTGTTGTTGTAGCTTCCGAAGGGAGCATACTTCATGTCGTCAAGATCTACGGAAGAGCAACAAACACCAAACTGTTAATAGTAGTAGCGGTCCATGTTCTCAGTCAATGCACCTCATATTGGAGACAACACCACTCTAGCACTCAGTAGAGTTCCTCCAGAATTTTCTTATTGTGTGCATTGGCCTAAATACTCCAAATCTAGGAAGCTAAGCAGGGTCAACTGCAGTTAGCCTTGGATAGGAGATCACCAATGAATCCCAGGAAGGAACTGCCCAAACCACCTCTATTACTTGCCTAAGAAAAGTCAATAGAATTAACAGAGTTGCCATAAGTTAATAGACAAAGTGAAGGCATATGCACACCAAAATATGGAGGTTGCCCCTCAAAGCTTTGCATGTTATTCTCTGCTATTGGAAGCACTGAAGAGGCTCAAGGAACGTACTTTGTACGAGGGTTGAATGAAAAGTAATGCCTCCACCTTCGTTACTTGGGTTTGGATGGGAATATTTTAATAAATCAAATGCAGAAATAATCCTTAGAATGTGCTCTTTAACTGCCACCATTCACTTTCCACATAATCACCAATTAGATACATTTCTGCCTACGATGAACCAGTTTTCTGAAGCTGTAACGGAAGAAGTCAACACTCTGTTTCTGCAACCAGCGTCTCACAGTTTTCTCATCCTGGGTACCCATTGTGCACAGAGCTTCCGATAGCCAAGTGTAATAGATCTAACCTTTGCCAGCTAGGCCGAAGCCTAAGAGTCAGTGGGCTGAGTCTCCATCTTGATAGGGAAGCTTAGAAGAGCTGACATCTTGGAAGAGGCAAGGAGGCAGGGGAGGAGTCAGCCGACTCCTGATTGGTTTAAGCACCAAGGGGAGGAGTTGGGTGTGAGTGAAAAAGCCTGTCACTTCTGACAAGAGGGGAGAAGGGTTCTAGCAAACAGAGAGAGAAGTAGGATTTTAGCAGAGTAGGATTTAGACAGGGAGAAGGAAGCTTTAGAGTGAGTCAAGCAGTCAGGGAATAAGAAAGGGACAAGGGCTTCAGTATTACTGTACTTGGAGGGTCAGTAAGGAAGATTTGTCAACTTGTATTAATAGAAAGTACAAGAGAGCTTATTGCCCTGAAGAGTAGATTGGAGAAAGTCTGATTACTCTGTGAGACAGTCAGGGGGACTGATCTCAGGAACACACTGTTTCAAAGAGTTGAATAGTGTGGAGAAGAGAACTCACTTCAAATTAAAGCTACACCTTTTGTGGAAGTCTCATATTTAATAAGCCTAAGCCTCAGTAACAGAAATACGCGTGTGTACCACTCATTGTATGAGTCGACATATTCTTGAAGTTCAATAAACCTGTTCCTAGTTTATCTTTAACTGGTGTCTGCCTCAGTCTGTCGTGTTCAGTGAAATCAAGTCAGTCTAAAAACCTCTCTACAGTCCAGTCAGCAAGTAAAGGAGTTCATAAAGAAGAACAGAAGCCTGGACGCATATTACCTAAAATACATTCACACCTTTGTTTCCTCAAACAATACAATTGAGGTGGTGGCGGCAAAATCTACTAGAATCATCGGTCTCTAATATCTTTAGCTAATCCCTCACTAAAATTCAGGTCACACAGGTGTGTGAAGGGACGCCTCGGACCTTTAATCACCCTTACATTGGTGGCAGCGGTGGGATAGAAAGGTTTTCCCCCCTGCCAACGGCCGAACGGTCATTAGTCCTTCTTACACCAAGCAAAGCAATAATGTGATGCTCACGTTCTTGTGAAATGCTGATTATGCTTGAAATTTCTATCTGAGTGATATGACGATCGTCCTGAATTAATCTGTCAACCTTTTGCTTATGAATCTTGGTGGTTGCTGTCACAGGACGTCCAATAATAATAATAATAATAATAATAATAATAATAATAATAATACACTTTATTTATAACCCGCCACCATCTCCCCAAAGGGGACTCAGTGCGGCTTACATGAGGCCAAGCCCAAAATAATAGAACATAATAAACACACAATAACAAAATACATCATAACAAAATATGAAATAACAAAATCAACAATATAAAACAGCATAGTAAAACCAGACACAGAGGGCGGGCCAAATGTATGAAGTTAAATGTTAAACAGTTAAAACCCTGGGTGAGATAGGAATAAAATTGCATTTGTAGGAGAGGAGCCCAACAAGGAGGAACCATGGGATTTAGCCATTTTAGGGGTGGGAAGATGCTTCATTCTGAGGGCAGCTGTAGGCTAAGACAACCAGGTGGGTTGAGTGGTCATTCTCCAAAAGCACAACACTTTGTTTGTCCTAAAGTCAGATGTTCCCATCTCAACATCTCTAAACTTACTCGCCCAACGACGCACAGTTCTCACCATAACACAATCACCATAAATAGCTTGCATTCTCTCTGATGAATCTCCTTTGGGGTGACACCTCCTGCTGTCAAGAATTCAATGACTGCACGTTGCTTAAGTCGCATTGACCGACCGTCTGCACAGGGTTCTATACTTTGCACATTAACAACACAACTATTCAATTCTAAGGCTTCCCACCAAAATGGAACTGTAGGGGAGAGTCTACTGAACAAGCCAGTACCTGCCGCATACTAGTACTGCCATCTGTTGAGGAGTTACAAAGGTGGAGGCATTACTTTTCATTCAACCCTCGTACTGAAAAGTGTGAAAGGAATGAAAGAGTCTCCCAAGTGAACTGTGACTACTCCTTCCATGAGAACCTAAGATATGATTTCCAGTGCGTTTTTGTGACCCCTGTTCCCTCAAGCACAATTCAGAAGCGGAGACACTCACCTGCTTGTCCCGTGTTCCAAGTGGTGACAAAACAGATTGCTTCCTCTGAGGCTGGGGGTCAGAAACCTGTGGCAATTTGCTTTCTGACAAGTGACAATGTTTGCGTGTTTCCATTTAGTTTGGAAAGAAACACAACAAAGCTAAAGGAGATGTCATGAAAAATATCTAAGAACATGGGACAAATATTTATGAGCATTAACAGGGGTCAGAGTGGAATCAGGAACTCCACAGTTCGGGTCCAATCCTGCCAGATTTCGTGTAAGAGGTCCTAAATAGAATCACTGACCACAGAGATCTCCAATGGAGTCAGAAGCAGAATATGAGTTTATGGCTCTGAGAAATCACCCAGCAAGGATGTCCATCAGGCAGAGGAGGAAGAGAAAGACAGATGGGAAGGAGATACACCTGCATAACTTGACCTGGAGAGCTAGCACAGTTCAGTTCAGCCTGTGTCAATATTTTGTGTCACCTCCTGTTGATGCCTCACTGTTACTTACAGGGGTTGGAAATAAATCTTGAGGACCATTTTCAAAGCAATCTCCTTCCTACGGGTGCTAGGATTGCCTCTAACAACAGTGAACCTGAGCAAGATGAGCGTCTGGACACTTTACTCAATGTCCTGTTATGCATCTTTGCAATTTCAGCCATCATCATTACTATTATTGTTGTACAAGGGTTGAATGAAAAGTAATGCCTCCACCTTCATAACTCGAGAGGTGGCAGTATTGGTATGCGGCAGGTACTGGCTTGTTCAGTAGACTCTCCTCTACAGTTCCATTTTGGCGGGAAGCCTTAGCATTGAAAGGTTGTGTTGTTAAAGTGCAAAGTATGGAACCCTGCGCAGACGGTTGGTCAATGCGACTTAAGCAACGTGCAGTCATTCAATTATTGACAGCAGAAGGTGTCACCTCAACATCTTACTTACGTGCCCGACAACCCACAGTACTCACATCAACACAATCACCATAAACAGCTTGTGTTCTCTGATGAATCTCCTTTGGGGTGACACCTTCTGTTGTCAAGAATTCAATGACTGCACGTTGCTTAAGTCGCATTGACCGACAGTCTGTGCAAGGTGCCATACTTCGCACTTTAACAACACAACCATTCAATGCTAAGGCTTCCTGCCAAAATGGAACTGTAGAGGGTCTACTGAACAAGCCAGTACCTGCCACGTACCAGTACTGCCATCTGTTGAGGAGTTACGAAGGTGGAGGCATTACTTTTCATTCAACCCTCATAATAATCATTCTTTGTCTTCTAATTATTATTAGCATCATCATCATCATCATCATCATCATCATCATCATCATCATCATGGTACTCATTGAATATTTGTAAGTTTCCAATCTGGACTTTTTTCGTCGGTGAGTGACATCATTGCAGAGCAGAGGGTACTTTGTTAGCCAAGTGAATGAGCGAGGTCATCTCAGGGCATATAAGGTCCGCTTTTGGCAACTTCATGCCTTCCAGACTCTAGCTTCCAGCTTGGTTGGTCCAGGAGCAATCCAAGTCATAGCTCTCACCTCTATAGGGCACAAAGTTGGAGGATGCAGGCCATACAAGATCTCACTTGGCTCTCGAAACCCATTAACATCAGCCTACAATAGATGCTACTACTGGTGGGTTCAATCTTTGTGGATTTGTTTATTTATGGATTTGATTCATAGGTGCTTTCTAGGGATCTCTGGGTCCTCCAGCATGAATCTGCAGTGAACTGAACATCATGCTAGAGGACATTGAGATTCCTAGAGAGAACATGTCTCTAGGCACATGTAGGTCCTCCAGTTCAACCTCTGTGGATTTGTTTATTTATGAATTTGATTCATAGGTGCTTTCTAGGGACCTCTCAGTCCTCCAGCATGAATCTGCAGTGAACTTCTGATGGAGGTTGATCATCATGCTAGAGGACGTAGAGATTCCTAGAGAGAACGTGTCTATAGGCATATGTTGGTCCTCCAGTTCAACCTTTGTGGATTTGTTTATGGATTTGATTCATAGGTGCCTTCTAGGGATCTCTCAGTCCTCCAGCATGAATCTGCAGTGATCTTCTGATGGAGGTTGATCATCATGCTAGAGATTCCTAGAGAGAACATGTCTCTAAGCATATGTAGGTCCTCCAGTTCAACCTTTGTGGATTTGTTTATTTATGGATTTGATGCATAGGTGCTTTCTAGGGATCTCTCGGTCCTCCAGCATGAATCTGCAGTGAACTTCTGATGGAGGTTGATCATCA